TTTTTTACAGAGGGATAAACAGGCTGAGTCCTTCCTCATTATTAGCTCAAGGTCCCAAAGCTGTGTAAGTACCACAGGGAGAACCAAAACCCACATCTAATGGGCCCCAACATTTTACCACTATCCTAGGCTGCTTTACATGTATGATTGTCTGAGACTACTAAAGTTTCAGAAGATAAAGCTGTTAATTGTAGGATTTAATTTCCTATCTTTTCCTAAGATTGTTAAAAACATAATTGGGAAAAACAGAAGGAACTTTATATGTGACTGAACCTTTCACAAAGAGTTTAACAATTTTAAAAGAACTTTAATGATCATCGTCTAATCCTCATTTCTTCAAGAAACAGTTATTGATGCTTACTCTGTTGGATGTTTCATTATTATAGAGACACAGAGACAAGTAACAAGAGTTTCTACATTCAAGATGTGTACAGTCTAATGAGAATGATTGTTAAAAAAAAAAAATTAACAGTGTCCCCTTTTGCAGAAGAAACTAAAGGCTGGTGGGGCTTAAATGACTTACCCTAACTTAGCTTCCAGGTGGCAGAGACAGGCCCTGACCTAAGTATTGATCTGAGATTCTTCTGACCATACCTCAGTGACTCCTCCTCACACCTCTACCTCCATGTGGACTTGAAATCCTAATCATGCTTTCCATTATCATCCTCCATAAATTCAACAAGGATTATAGAATCTGAGAGTATGAATTTATCTAGACAACTACAGCAACAACATTAATGATTTTAATGCTTAAAGAACCCATTAGGCTACTTTGTTTTGTTTTGTTTTGTTTTAAATGTAGTAAGACCACTAATAAACTGATTTTTCTTACTACTTCAAGCTGCTTCAGTCTGAAGTTGAAAGAATGTTAAGGGAAGATGCAAATGTTTTCAAAGATCAGGGTAAGTCAGGCTAAGGGAGAATTTTTAATGTTCTCTTTCACCATCAGAGCTACAAAAAGGTCTTTGTAATAGAGAATGCAATTCTGTGACTAGGCTCCCATCCTCAGAAATACTCTGTGAATGTAAAATTGTTATTCAGCTTATCTCCTTCATTCATTTAACAACATAAGCCAAGACTGTACTGGGGTATCAAAATGGATGCCTGAGAGGCAGTTCTTGCCCTTAATGAGCTCTCTGTTTGGTGGGAGACAGAAGTAATTTACTACGAAGGAATGATTAGCTCTATTTTGTGGCAAACAGGGACAGCTTCCTGAAAGCAAAGGCACCTGAGTAGGTCTAAAGATAACGAGGAATTTGCCAAGTGGAATGAGGTAGTGGGGAGATAGTGGTGAGAAAGGGACAGGGAACAGCATGTGCAAGATGACCTAGCCTAGAACCAGAAGTATTAGCAAATGTGCTTGCTCTGGATTAATCACTCGGAAACTCAGAATATCACTACCAAACGGAACTCTTCCATTCTTATTTTTCATAGAACTTTATGAAACCAATTCCAATATAGCTTTTTATCCCTACTACTCCACTAAAATTGATTTTGTAGTGGTCCCCAATGACTTTCACAATGCCTAATTTAATACACTTTTCAGACATCATCCTACTTGACTTTGGGGCTATAATCTCTTCTTGGAGTTTTCCTCCATTTCTCTGGCCCTTCTTCCTCCTCTACCAGGCCTCTAAAAACTAAGTTCCTCAAGGCTTACCCCAACTCTCCTTTCTCCTACCCCAGGCAATATCATCCTTTCCTGGACCTTTAAATACAACCCAAACCATATGTTCATGATTTCCAAATGTGCATCTCCAAGCTGACCTCACCTCTGAGCTCCAGTCTGGTAAATCCAACTGTCTCCTTACTATCTTCTCCACCTGGAAACTTCACAGGCATCTCCAAGTTAACAAGTTCAAAAGTGGAATTTATTTCAACCATTCCCCCTGAAACCTGCTTGTCCCACTGTTTCTTCAGTCATGACCTACCAATCAATTGACTGGCCAGTCATTTTAAGTCATTCTTGCCTCTACATCCTGTTACCAAGTTCTGTCAGCTCTACCTCTGCCTATTTCCCCATATCTGCCTCTACTACCCTAGTCCAGGACACCATCTTCTTGCACCTGGACATCTAGCCTCTACCACAAGTAACTGAATGTACATTAGCAGCCACAGTGATAGTTTAAATCAGGCATCCTCAAACTACAGCCCATGGGCCATAGTTTGCAGCCCGCCTAGGACATATATCCGGCCCACTGGGTGTTTTTGCCGTTGCTGCCCGTCCTGCTTAGCAGCCAACTCGTCCCAGGCCCATAGTGTGCACTCTCCAATGGTCTGAGGGACAGTGAACTGGCCCCCTGTTTTAAAAGTTTGAGGACCCCTAGTTTAAATCATTTAATTCCCCTGCTTACAGCCCTTCTGTGGTGGTCATCCCTTCTGTTTACAAATATTCCAACTCCAGGCCGGGCGTGGTGGCTCACGCCTGTAATCCTAGCACTCTGGGAGGCCGAGGCGGGAGGATTGATCAAGGTCAGGAGTTCGAAACCAGCCTGAGCAAGAGTGAGACTCCGTCTCTACTATAAATAGAAATTAATTGGCCAACTAATATAGAGAGAAAAAATTAGCCGGGCATGGTGGTGCACGGCTGTAGTCCCAGCTACTTGGGAGGCTGAGGCAGCAGGATTGCTTGAGCCCAGGAGTTTGAGGTTGCTGTGAGCTAGGCTGATGCCACGGCACTCACTTTAGCCTGGGCAACAAAGTGAGACTCTGTCTCAAAAAAAAAAAAAAAAAAAACAACACACACACACACACACAAATATTCCAACTCCACTCTCTCCTGGTACATGATAAGTTTTGAAGTTAGGTGGGACATGTGACTTTCTTTGGATAATGAAATGGAGCAAAAGTGATGTTATCACTTTTGAGTATAAGCTTTAAAAGCCAATGTGCAGCCGGGCGCGGTGGCTCACACCTGTAATCCTAGCACTCTGGGAGGCCGAGGTGGGTGGATCGTTTGAGCTCAGGAGTTCTAGACCAGCCTGAGCAAGAGCGAGACGCCGTCTCTACCAAAAAATAGAAAAAATTAGCCAGGCATGGTGGCATGTGCTTGTAGTCCCAGCTACACAGGAGGCTGAAGCAAAAGGATCGCTTCGGCCCAGGAGTTTCAGGTTGCTATAAGCTAGGCTGACGCCACGGCACTCTAGCCCAGGCAACAGAGTGAGACTCTGTCTCAAAATAAATAAATAAAAAGAGCCAATATGCACTTCACCCTTTTCTCTTCCTCTGCCATGATGGGTATGATATTCTAGATAGCGTCTACTCCATTAGCCTGAGCTCCAGACTTAGAATAGGATGGCAAAATAGATATGCAGTCTGAGAAATAAACATATGTAAAGCTATAATGTCAATAGCTTCTGACTGCACTAAGAACGAAACACAAATGCCTCAACATAGTGAACAAATTCCAATATAACTGGCTCCTGTGTACCTATCCAATGTCATCTTGGGCCAGACCTTTCTGCTCACTACATTCCACTCACACTGGCCCCCTTGCAGTTTGTGGAATAAGCCAAGCCTGTTTCCACTCTTCCATGCAATATTCTTTGCATGGTTTGCTGCTTTCCAACCTTTGGACCTCAACTTAAAAATTACTTCCCCAGGGATGTCTCACTTAACTGCTTTATCAAAAGCCCCTCTCTGTGACTGTCCAGCAGCACTCTGACCATTTCCTGCATGGCACTTCACAGTCTGTAATAATTATGCATCTCTCTGATGGGCTCTCCCATTAAAATGTAAGCACCATGAGGGGATGAGCTCACCACTATCTCCGGGGCCTAGCACTAGACTATAGCCTACACTATATAGAGTAGTATCCTGTAGATGGTAGGCACTCAGTAAATACTTGTTAAACAAATGAACAAATGAGAAAAGACTCCAACAGTGGGACATACACTACAGACATCATATCACATGAGCAAGTGGTGGTGGTAATGGTGAGGACAGTAAGGGAACTCACATTTATGGAATGACTACCAGGTACCCAGCACTGTTTTAGGTACTTTATATACGTTACCTCTCTAGATTCTCATAATCCTAGGAGGTCAATATTAATATCTCCACTTTATAGATCAGGCAACTGAGGCTCAACCTACTCAAGGAGACCAACTAGTAACAGCAGTTTTAACTCAGAGCTATTAATCTCTTTCCTCCAAACCATGATGGGGGAGGCGGGGGGAATTAAACTATTATATTTCATCTTAAGTGCTTTTCTATTAATATTACACACATAAATTGAACATATTTCTACCCCAAGAACCAGTTTTTATTTTTCCTTTTTTTTTGTTTTTTTAGGCTCTTCCTAAAGCCTATTTCAGGTATCTCTTGTTATCTGGAACCAGAAAGGACGGAATGACGCAAATCAGACTTTTGCTGGGACTTTTTTCTTGAAGTCTTTTTCTTCTCAGAGTAAGAAGATACTATGATTATGAAATAGGTCTGTGTTATATTGGCTTAACGTACCCTCTTGCCCTGTCACCAAATGCTCTTCTGCTGGTCACAAAACACACAAAGCTAAGTGGTCTAAGGGATCAGACCCACAATCTGATGATATTAGCATGGACTCCAAACAGCTAAACAAATGAAACCATCTGGCTTCTTACTTGTGACCACCTTTGGAGGAAGTAACAGGTGAACAACAGAAAGGCAGCGCTTGGATCAACTCCCAAACTGTTCTGCTGTGTTCTAAGGAGACTCAGGATTAACAGAGCAGACGGGACCTTTGGGACCATCTAATTAAATCCCCTTTTCTAACAGTTTAGCAAATAGGCCCAGGCAGGCAGTTACTGGCCTAAGAGAAGCAAGTCTCCTGGCTCCGAATCAAGTGCTCTTCCCACTGCACCACACTGCCACCCTAATCAAGAACTAGTGATTATGTCAAAGTAACCAGCAGATAATGTCCAGATAACATTCAGTTTGTAAATCCCCCAATGTTTCTCTTTATTCTCTACCATCTAGAAAATCTTGAGCAAAAAGAACATATACAATAAAAACAAAGGAAACCAGGAAGAGCTATTTTAATTTTCTATTAAACATTCTTCCAAAAGCATTATTTTATCCCATATCTTACTGAATATAAGAAATAACATTAGTATTAGAAAAACTAGGAAAAAAGATAAATGCAGATAATTAAACTCACATGAAAAAGGAAAATTATAACAAAAGACTGAGAGCTTTATAAATTTAAATATGAGATATAATTTAAAAACTGTGCATCTCTAAGCAAACTTTATTTGTTAAGTTATTTTTTAACAACAGTGTTTTATGACTTTAATACACTAATTTTTTAAGAAGGAAACCCATTTTTAAAATATTTTAAAATATTTTTATTTTAAAAATAGGCCTGTGTTCAGTTACACATCCCCTCCTCCCAAGCTGTGATCATATTTCTTTTATTTTGATTTGGGAAGAAAATACTGTTTCTGATGGCAGGAAACGCAACATTTTTAAGTTTTTGTTTTTTTTTAATCCTGGTACAGAATTTTAAGAACTATTAATGAGGGATTGATTAAGGTCATTAAGTGCATAACGCTAATTACTGACTGGCTATTGGTATTGTTTCTTCCCTAGTTCTCTCCAAGGAAAACTCTTAAACTGAATTTTCAGTAGAATAATCCTTAAATATGCTTTATAAGCAAAATAAGAGCTTTTGTTTACATAATTTTTTGGATTTTACTGTTCCTAATTTTATTCTGAAACTCAATTTTACCCCAAACCATAATTACCATATTAACTTTGTAATGCATAGTTGAATGCAATTCAGCAAAGCAGTAGTACACCATCAGGCTCCATTCACCCAGAGCATAGGAAAAACAGGATTGGTCATACCCATTGAAAAACAAATCTATCTCACACAATTTGCCAATTTGTAGTCTCAGTCTAAATTCTGACAATGAAATATATGGATACATATCTATATATTTCATCTTGATTTTCAAAAGTAGTCAAAGGGAAGTTCTTCACAGCTTAGCTTTGGCTGGCTGAAGCTGAAGATTTTGTAACTTCATAGCCAGACCCATATTTCCAGTGATTTTCAATTTGCCCTGAAAGAAGGCCTGTGAACAAGAAAAAAGAAAACTCGTTACTTATTGGTTTTTGTTTTGAGATTGCTGATGTTTCTAGACTATTGACCTCTGAGATCATTTATTTATCCAGGTCACTTACCTTTCTCCAAAATGTGAAACTTGGCTTTCTGGAATAGATTTAGAACCAGATTCTTCAAAAGGAAGAATCTGTAAATGCATACTTTATATAGAACAATAGAAACGAGCAACTAAGGAACATCTTTCCCAAATGTCTTCTCTTAGAAATTGAGTCTGCTTTTGCCTGACTTCCTCAAAGGTGGTACATTTTCCAAATATTAGGCAAAATCAGTTCATACTAGACTGATTTGTTTAAAAACATTACATGTGGGTTACAAGTATGAACTGAAATTTTCAGTAGGCTGCTGGGAGAAAAAGCACACACAAAAAACACACTTAGAAATTCTTGGGATTCAATACAATGTGGATGAGATGCCACCAATTCCTTCCTTCCTTCCTTCCTTCCTTTTTTCCTTATCTACATAATAAAGGATTTATCTCTAGAGAGGACAGTCAGGCTGCTGAGACTGAAGAATCAAACCAATCTGAAGTGCAAAGCCACAATTTGTTCCACTTAACAACTGCCTGGGATTAGATCACATGATGTTTGCTAAATTTACCATGTAACAAAATCCCAGGAAAACTTAAGAGAAATAGCAAAATTGGGAATATAGTATGATTTCCCTGCCGTGGTCTCAGCATTTTAACTCAATTCTTAAAATAAAGAAGGGCTAGATGAAAAAAGTTTTTGGTAGTCTATCTTTTTAAGCGAGTACATTAAAAAGTTAGGAGATCTTCTACATCATCCGTGGGTATGCGCAGAGCTGTTTTTTCTAAGCCTATTGGTAAGGGTGACTAATTCCTTTCCCTCCCCCTTCCCCTGTCTGGACAAACTAAATATTTCCTTTCTATATGGCACAAAGCCTTCTGTCTGATGGCTTAAAGGTCAGGTGTCTCAGAACACAATATATTTAACATATGTTATTTAAAAATATGGACCGGTAGTACGAGAGAAACTCACCATCTTTCCCTTTTAAGTTAAAAGAGAAAATGAGTTTTATTTACTAATAATAGAGAAAACATGAAACTTCACCCTTTAGAGAATCCAAAAGTAAGGATCATTTTAATCTGGCCCTTAGGTATTCTTCATGTGTGATTTCTATCGGAGAGCACACTGCCTTGTTTCAACTGTAGCCAAACACTGAAATTAGACTTTCCACTGCATTTAACGATTTCCAGTCAAATCCTCTACTGAACATAAGGGAAGGCCATTAGCACATTAATAGAAAAGTCTGCCATTTTTATCTTTCATTCCTTTGGGTGTTAGCAGGTGCTGAAGAAAAATAAGCTGACACCTCACCCCCCAGAATGGGCAGTACATAGATCAATTGAGAGAGAACAAAGGCAGCTGATGTGTGAAGTCTGAGCACCCCGCCAAAGCTGTGCATGGTGTGTGCAGTGGGTGGGAAGGAGGATGACAGCCAGCTCCTATACTGGTGGCCTCTCTTCTGTCCAGATTTCTGGAGCAGGCTCAGTGGGTGGAAATGTCAGTGCCAATGGTGTGTACTCAGCTAAAACATCACAGACGCAAATCTCTCCCTTGTCCTGGTATCCACTGAAATATGCTTAGTTACTTAGGAAAAGCATTGTAAAAAGGAATGCAAGTAGAAGTCAGATTTAGTTGTTTTATCCAATTTGCGAATTACCAAAGATCCACAGGAATAAGACCTGAAACAAATCTGGCTAAGGAAACAAAAACTTGTTACAATGGAAAGAAACATCTTAGTTTCTTTTTTGTTAATGGAGAGCTCAGTATATCAAGTTGACAGAAGACTCACTATTATAAAGTCCATTCAACACTGTGCAACTAAAGAGTATAAGAAAACACTAATAATTTGGGGATCAGAAAAATCTATGCAAGGCATAAATACATTTTGCAAAATATAATTTAGTCCAACAACTATTTATGGAAATCCTAAAAACATCACATATTATGCTAAACTCTGGAAACACAAAAATGAGTAAGATATGGTTTGATCCTTTGAGACACTCCCAATCAAAGGGGGAAGGGAGAGGCACATTATATCTATTGTAAAACAGCAGGCACTAAGCTAACTGTCCAGCAAGTGGCTCAGAAGAGGGACTGACTCCCCAACAGCTTTGAAGGAGGGCCTCGGAGATCATATCTGTGCTAATTCTGAAGGACAGGGAGTTTGTCAGGGAAGACAGCTTAAGTCAAAAGAAGAGCATGAGCAAGGACACAGAATGTAAAAGGTGGTGCCTTTGTTCACGCCATCCCCCTCTACCTGGAGCACTTGTACTCTCTACCTGGGCACCCAGCTCAAGTGCTGCTTCCTCTGTGAGGCTCTCCCCGATGGCCTGGGGAGACAGGGCTGCTTCTTCCTCCATCCTTCACTGACCACAAGCCAGGTGTGGCACCTTCAATCCTTGGCTGCACTTACTCTTTTACAAGATCTGTCTCGTATCATACTGTGGATGCCTTGAGCGTAGGAACTATTTCTTGTTCATCTGGGCACTCCAGCACACAGGACAGTGCCTAGCACATAGCTTGCTCCACAAATGTCTGTCATTTATTAGGTGAATATTTTGGGGAACGCTGAGTTTTGTGGGTCTCATCATGGTGCACTTTAGAGTATGAGGCAGGAGATGAAGTAGAAAGGGCTAAAAGACCCATGTGCTAGCAGGATATAAATTCCATCATACTTACCGATTGAGGATTCATTTTACCAGTCATTAAAGCCAGTAAGTCGGAGTCAGCCATTGTGATCGTGCAGTCAGCCTTCTTATCTAAAACAGAGATATATAGCAAAAGGAAAGAGAAAAGAAGGAGTGTTCAGTTTCACATAGACATTTTGGTGAAGAGCCACTGACTGTAATAGAATCACACCCAGTACTGAGGCACTGTGGGGCAATGGGCACTCACATACACTCATATGGCAGCCTGGTTAAATGTGACATAGACAATAAGCAACCTTGACATTTAATCAGAGGGAACTGATTAAATAAATTATGGTATGTTCATATAATGAGATACAATGTAGCCATTATAAGAAATGATGTGGTTCTATACTTACTGACGTGAAAAATATTCATGCTATATTGTTTATGATATTGTTATATAAGCCAGTTACAAAATAAACTGTATGATCCCATTTTTGCTGAACAAATATTCAATTATGTAAGTACAGAAAAAAAACTATAAACTTAGACACCAATATATTACAAATAGTTATTGTGGCAAACAGACTCTAAGGTGACACCCTGCCCTCTGCCCCCTGGTGTACATGCTTTTAAATTAAATTCCCTTCCCTCAGTGTCAGCAGGACTGTGAGTTGCTTCTAGCTAACAGAATATAGCAAAAGTGACTGTATGTCGTTCCTGAGATTTTGTTATGTTATATACACCTTGCTAGCAGACTCACTCTCACTGCCCTCCTGGCTTTGAAAAAGCTAGTTGTTATTAACAGCCGTATAAAAGATCTCTAAATGGCCCCAAAACACATGAAACACTGTTTAACTTCTTTAGTCTTCAGAAAATGCAAATAGGCCAGGCTTGGTGGCTCACGCCTGTAATCCTAGCACTCTGGGAGGCCGAGGAAGGAGGATTGCTCAAGGTCAGGAGTTCGAAACCAGCCTGAGCAAGAATGAGACCCCATCTCTACTATAAATAGAAAGAAATTAATTGACCAACTAATATATATAGAAAAAATTAGCCAGGCATGGTGGCGTATGCCTGTAGTCCCAGCTACTCGGGAGGCTGAGGCAGCAGGATTGCTTGAGCCCAGGAGTTTGAGGTTGCTGTGAGCTAGGCTGACGCCACGGCACTCACTCTAGCCTAGACAACAAAGTAAGACTCTGTCTCAAAAAAAAAAAAAGAAAGAAGGGAAGGAAAGGAAGGAAAGGAAGGAAAGGAAGGAAGGGAGGAAGGGAGGAAGGGAGGGAGGGAGGGAGGGAGGGAGGGGGAGAGAGAGAGAGAGAGAGAGAGAGAGAGACAGAGAGACAGAGAGACAGAGAGACAGAGAGACAGAGAGACAGAGAGAGAAAGAATAAAACAGTGATGAGATGCCACATACCTACTAGAATGAATGGCTGAATTTTTTAAAAAAGACAATATGCAGTGCTACTGAGGATGCAGAGCAACTGAGAGGTCAACAAAACACTAGAAGGACTGTGAAACAGTGTAGCTACTTCGGAAAACAGTTTGGAAATCTCACATAAAGCTAAACAAAGGCCGTATGTGGCAGCTCACACCTGTAATCCTAGCACTTTGGGAGGCCAAGACGGGAGGATTGCTGAGGCCAGGAGTTTAAGACCATCCTGGACAACATAGTAAGAATCTGTCTCTACAAGAAATACCAAAAAAAAAAAATTTTTTTAAACACACACATACCATATGAACTAGCAATCCCACTTTTAGGTATTTACCCAAGAAAAATGAAAACATATGTCCACATATGTATGCAAATACTTACAGTAGCTTTATTCATCATTGCCCAAAGCTGGAAAAATCTCAAATGTGCATCAACTGGTGAGGGGATAAACCACTCAGCAACAAAAAAGAACAAACTACTGATGATACATGCAACAACATGAATGATACTTCTCAGTGAAAGAAAAAGGCTCAAAATGCTGCATATTGTATAATTCTATTTGTATGACTTTCTGGGAAGGCAAAACTACAGGGACAGAAATCAAATTAGTGGTTGCCAGGGCCTGAGGGTGGGAGAAGAAGCTTGACTACAAAGAGACATAAGGACACTTTCTGGAGTGGTAGAAATAGTCAATGTTTTTATTTTTGGTGGTGGTTACACAACTGTATGCATTTGTCTAAATTCATAGAACTGTACATCTAAAAGGGTATATTTTATTTTATATAAATTGTACCTCAATAAACATGACTTAATAAAAACTGACAGTACCAAGCACTGTCAAAAATGTAGAGCAACTGAAACTCTCATATAATGTGGAAGGGAATGTAAAATAGTACATCCACATCAAAACCCTGTTTGGCTATTCTGTACCTTATGACCTAGAATTTCCATGCTGGGTATGCACCCAGTGGAAATGAGTACAATACAAATGTCCACTAAAAGGCATGTATAAGAACATTTATGACGGCTTTATTTGTAAGGCCCTAAAATGGAAACAATGCAAAGATACATCAACCACATCATGAATAAATTCTGGGGTATTCACATAGTAAAAACCAACTATTGCCACATGCAACAATATGAATGAATCTTACACTGCTGAACAAAAGAAGCCAGACCTAAAAAAAAAGCAAATTTTGTTGTCTAATGGTTCTATTTGTATGTATTTCCAAAATAAATAAAATCAATCTATGGTGATAGGAATTGGAATAGGGGTTCCTTCTGGGGATGGATAGTGATGGGAAGGGGCATGAGGGGGGCTTCAGGAGTGCTGGCAACATTCTGCACTTTGATCTGGGAGGTGTGTGCATTTGTAAACATTCATCAAGTGGTATACTTCAGATTTGTGCCCTTTACTATGGCCTAGACTTCAATAAAAATTTTGCAAAAACAAAAACAAAAAAACAGGTGGTGGGTTAGATATGGTCCATAAGCCATACTTTGCCAACTCCTGACTGGTAGAATTATGGGACAGTGATTTTTTTCATTTTATTTCTCTATCATTTCTAATTTTTTCCATCAAGTGCATTTAAATAATACAAAGTTTTAAAATATTACTTTTAGTATCATCAAAGTAAAATGATAGGAAAAGACTGGACAACAAAGACTAATGTCTCATTGGTAAATTAGCCATATCTATATTGGGCAAATGAGAGGTTTTAAGTACAAAAGGAAAAATTCACCAAGAAATCACGTTTTTTCAGCCAGTCAATGTTTTAGGCAATCAATTACTATAACAATAGTACTCTCACAGTTGGCTTCTACTCTCATTAAGAAATAATTCAAATTAAAGTTGGCCTTTCCCTAGAAACCAAGTCATTTTCTCTTTTCATTCACTGCACTTATCTGAAACTACCTTATTTACATATGTGTTTTCTATCTGTCTGCGCCCAATAGACAGGGGCTCTTGTCAGTCTTGTTCACTGCTACATCTGAAGGCCCTTGACGAGTGCTTGACATATAAAGGGCAATCAATAAATACCTGTTGAATAAATTAATAGAGTATATGGAGTTCAAAAGATGATCAAATTAAGGCATAACAGCGAATCAGATAATCTGTGCCTTAATAGAAGAGATAAAAGTAAACTGTTAAAGCATAGCATATTATTAAATAAATAAAATAAGATAGGGCCGGCGCAGTGGCTCATGCCTGTAATCCTAGCACTCTGGGAGGCCGAGGCGGGCGGATTACTCCAGATTAGGAGTTCGAAACCAGCCTGAGCAAGAATGAGACCCCGTCTCTACTATAAATAGAAAGAAACTAATTGGCCAACTAATATATAGAGAAAAAATTAGCCGGGCATGGTGGCGCATGCCTGTAGTCCCAGCTACTCGGGAGGCTGAGGCAGAAGGATTGCTTGAGCCCAGGAGACTGAGGTTGCTGTGAGCTAGGCTGACACCACGGCACTCACTCTAGTCTGGGCAACAAAGTGAGACTTTGTCTCAAAAAATAATAATAATAAAAAATAAGATAGGAAAGAAGTTATTATGTGTCTTATAACTCAGGGAATAGCCCCTAAAAAAACTAAGATTCAATAGTCATTCTAACTTAGCTGCTAACAAATTTTTCTCTTATTACGGGGAAAAAAGGTCTGAATCCTTAAAAATGAAGAAATTTATAGTCTAGAAAAAAATCCAGTTCTACTGTAGATACAGAACATCAAAGAGCAAAGAGAAACAGCTAACAAACTGAGATAGCTGGACCTGATCCTAATATTCCAAGAAAGGACTCTTAGTCATTGGACAACGAGGAAGTAAAATCTACTATTGCTGCTGCTGTAATATCAGTATTTACTGAGCTCTCACTGTGCTGAGCATTTCACACACCTGGTCTCCCTTGATCTTTATAACAATCCTATGAGGTCAGAGAGATCAAATAATTTGCCCAAGGTCAGAGCTAGTAAGTGGCTGAGATAGGTCTGAATGCAGATTCCTGTTGCCAAAGCTAATACTCCCAGTTCTTATGCTTTACTGCTTCCTCTTGTTATAGGAAGAATGCAAACATTCGTGGGCCTTCACCAATCATCGGCATCTGATGAATCCCAGATTCTTTCCCAGTTCCCCAAGTCCTTTTGAGGAGCTTAGACAAGACTATGTGTCCAAGCAAAACTTATGTTTAATATATGGGTTGGGGAAGAAGCAATGATTTACCGAGCACTTACAATCCAGGTGTTTTATATACCTTATCTCATTTAATCCCTACAACAGCTCTGTGGAAAGGCTATGTTTTTTCTCTGTACCTTGGGGATGGGAGATCCTGAGGCTTTCTGTATCATGTTGCTTAATAAAGGGATAGGGTTGAGAACTCTAGTGCTGGGAGGGCAGAATAAAGGAATGAAGGAGTAATATGTCATGTTAGATTAATCAAAGTTGGCTTCCTGGAGGTATGCTATGTGAGTCCTTTCAAAGGAAAGGAGGGAGGGGCAGAACTCATGGAGAAGATACTAAAAGGTACCCAGGCAGCAAGAAAAGATGATGAAAAATGCACAAAATCTAAACGTCCTTAATATAATCATCTATATAATCATTTAGAAGCTCTTAGAATACAAGCAAATGAAATATATTTAAGTAAATCTTACTTCATTAATAAAAGTAAACCTCCTAACACTATGTACATACCAAAAGGACTAGCAATTCTTAAGATGCCAGTTCAAACTAGGACAGGTTATTAATGCTTTAACATAGCTAATCTCTAACAAATGGCCATTTGTTGGTTGATGTAAAAGGAGCTGGCAATTTCCAGTGGTGGCTTTTACTGGGTAAGTCCATATTTCAGCACCACTCCTGGCTGCCAACAAGTGTCGGTTTCAGCAGAAATTGCCCTGCCCCAGGGTAAGATCCCTTCAGATCTGGGATGGGGCACCTGAAGCAGGGGAAGCACACAGCCTGAGCCTATCTGGAGGAAACACAGCTTCTTAAAAATCATTCAACAGCTTTCCATAACCATATTATCTTTTGTGACAAAACAAATAACAACAAAACAGGAGAAAAAGGAGACTTTTTTTTTTTTTTTAAATCACCTTAACATCTGTCTGGGAACATCAGAATATGAATGTAACCTTTTAGTCATTAAAAAAATTGGCACTACTATAATTCCCAAAGTTCTATTTCTAAAAGCTGGAATCTAGATGAAGCCTTAAGCTTTTCTTCCTATACCACCTTAGAGTGGCAGCTCATAGAATACAAAGTTATAGTCATTTTTCTGCCCATTCATTTGGGAAGGAAGAAGAAAAGACTCTGTATAATTTAGTAACCTTCTACAACGAAGCCTTGCTACCCACACCGATGGATGCCCTGACCACTGCTCAGCTTTTCCTTCATTAACTTCTCATTGATCCTTATTCAACTGTGCCATCACAGCGCTCTTTACTTCTCCTGCCTCCAAGCTGTACACTCTATTCCAGGAGTTCTGCCAACCTCCTCTCTCCTCAAAATGCCCCTAAATATTTGACTACCCTTTCAGAGAAAGAAATATCCACCCATGCAAGGCTAACCTTCCTTGTACCTCTGCTTCTGACATCCTCTCCTGCAGCATCTCCCTCAGCAGTGTGTCAATAATGAAACCCCCCCCCTTTTTTTTTTTTTTTTTTTTTTGGGACAGAGTCTCACTTTGTTGCCTAGGCTAGAGTGAGTGCCGTGGTGTCAGCCTAGCTCACAGCAACCTCAAACTCCTGGGCTCAAGCAATCCTGCTGCCTCAGCCTCGAGAGCAGCTGGGACTACAGGCATGGGCCACCATGCCCGGCTAATTTTTTCTATATATATATATATATTAATTGGCCAATTAATTTCTTTCTATTTATAGTAGAGATGGGGTCTCGCTCTTGCTCAGGCTGGTTTCGAACTCCTGACCTCGAGCAATCAATCCGCCTGCCTTGGCCTCCCAGAGTGCTAGGATTACAGGAGTGAGCCACTGTGCCAGGGCGAAACTCCACCACCTTTGACAGGCCTCCTCCTTCCATGCTCCCCAGTCCCATCATCTTCACCTCCAAGATCTCTGGCATCTACTCTAACAACACTCACTTCTCTCACTGCCAACACTCAGGCTGGCCAACCTCTCTGCTCACTTAGTGGCAACATCCATCCTCCTAATTGCTCCCTCTGCCCCCAACCTCTCCCTTTGCAATACATCAGGTCTAAGGCACCAGCTCCATTCTCTAAAATAAAGCTTTGATTTTCACTTTCCACTTACAAAGCTTTAATGGATTGATTATACCCCATATAACTTTCAAAGTTCTTATCATGGTATTTTAAACCTTCTAAAATCTGGTCCCCCTCTATCATATTTCTAAATTACACCAGGCTCTCTCCAACAAGAGAAATTTAACAATACAACCTAGCTATATTGTATTGTTAACTGGTAAATACTGAATGCTTACTAAGTGCCATTTGTTCATTCTGGTGTTAATTTCTAAATTACTTATTTTTTGAAGACCTTCTACTGTGTCAGGTACTATTCTAGGCACTGGGAATGCAGCAGAAAACCTGACAGGCAAAAAGGTCTTCCTTCATAGAGCTTATAATGCAAGCAGGGGATATAGACAATAAGCAGATAAACAAAACATTACATGGCACATCAGACAGTGACAAGTGCTATGAAGAAAAATAAGGCAGAAAACGACAATAGGTAATGGTAATGGGGATTTGATTTTTAAAAGGGTGTTTAGGGAAGGGCTCACTGAGAAGGTAGCATTTGGTCAAAGATGCAAAGAAAACAGAGGAATAAGCCATAAGGATATCTGGAGGAAGACAATTCCAGGCAGAGGGAACAGAGAGTAGAAAGCCCCCAAACCGAGAGCATCCCACGTTCACCCAAGCAACAGCAAGGAGGCCGTGTTACTTGAACAAAATGAGAGAGAAAGCAGTAAGACAGAGGAAACTGGGGCCAGTCACGCTGTGCCATTGTATGAGCTCTGCTTTCATGTGGAGTGACCTGAAGTCCATTGGAAGAGGGTTTTAAGCAGAGATGGTAACAATCTGACTTAAGTTTTAAAATTATTACTCTGCCTGGTGTGTGGACAAGAACCTGCAAGGGACAAAGAGGCCAGCAAAAAAAATGATGCTGGCCTAAACTAGGGTGGTGGTGGTGACAGAAGACAGGATGACTGTGGAGTATGAGGAAAAAGAGGTCCCAAGGATCACTTCGAGGTTTTTGGACAGAGGAACCGGTAGGATACAGGAGCAGTTTACCAAGAAGGGAAAGACAACAGGAGGAGTACATACCTACAGGGGAGAAGGAAGAGTTCAGTTTCACACATGTTTGCTTTGAGATATCTATTTGAGGCCAAGTAAACTTGTCAATTAAGCAGCTAGATATACACCTTGGAGTTCAGAAGACATAAATCATGAGACTAGATGAGATCCCCAGGGAGTGAATGCATATATAACTGAGCCTTGGGACACTCCAGTGTTTACAAAACCTGAAAGTCTAATGTTATGAGGGCTGGGAATTAACCACTGAATTTAACAATGTGGTAATTACTGGCGACCTTGACAAGAACAGTTTGGGGATAGTGATGAAGACAAAAGGTGATTGACGTGGGTTCAAGACAGATTTGGATGAGAGGATCTGGCAATACTGAGTACAGATAGACAGGTCTTCTGAAGCCATATAACCATGTGCTGGACTGTGTGCTTTCCAGGTTAATTAAGAGAGAATTCTCTTAATGCTCACAACAACCCTATGAAAGAGGTACCATTTATTAACTCCATTTACAGATGAGAAAGTCAAGTCTCAGAGAAGTTAAATAACTTGTTCAAGGTCAGAATCTATGAGTGGTAGGGCCAGGACCCCTACCCAAGTTTGTCTAATTCCAAAGCCCAAGAGTGGCCACTCTGTGATGGAACCTCCAAATCTCTGGGAGGAGGTAGCTTCGAACTATTCCTGCTCCCTGAGATTCACTGGTTCTTTAACAAGGTCCTGCACCTCTAAAGCGGGCCCTTTCAGGAAAAGCAAAGCAGACCCCATTTTCCCAGCTGACAGCCTTTGTAAACTGGTCAGCACTCCTATAAATGCAGTCACTACTGCACTAACCTGAGTTAGGAAGCACTGATCCTTTGCCGTTCTTCACATCTACCACCCAGGTGGCTTCTTTACCCCCAGGGCCATCCTTCACCTTGAAGGCAAAAATACCACCAATTTTCTTCACAAACTGTTCCCCTTCCTGGAAAGAAAAATAACACTGGGAGTTACAATAAGTCCATTTCTTTGGCTTTCTCCCCAAGCAAATTAATTTTAAATAGATACATGATGTGAGCAGCTAGACCAGAGGGCAGTCCCCAAGGTCCCTTAGGATCTTTTACCCAGAAATGTCTGAAAGGCAACAACTCCCACATCTGCCAAATCTTTTATTTAAAATGGCTTTTATTTTTTCACTTTTTCTGAGACAGAGTCTCACTCCTGTTGCCGGGCTAGAGTGCCATGGCGTCAGCTTAGCTCACAGAAACCTCAAACTCCTGGGCTCAAGCAATCCTCCTGCCTCAGCCTCCCGAGCAGCTGGGACTACAGGCATGCACCAACAAGCCCAGATAATTTTTTCTATATATATTAGTTGGGCAATTAATTTCTTTCTATTTATAGTAGAGACGGGATCTTGCTCTTGCTCAGGCTGGTTTCGAACTCAGACCTTGAGCAATCCTCCCGCCTCGCCCTCCCAGAGTGCTAGGATTACAGGCGTGAGCCACCACACCCAGCCTAACAAGGCTTTTCAGTACAACTGGTGAAAGGGAAGTGAGGATGGGGGATGCATGGCAACATTTTCTCCCAAAATAGCCTTCATATGTCTCAAAAATTTGGAATGGATTTACTCTGGCTTCTCAAAATGGAAGAATCTTCAGCCCTCCTCCCCCGTTATGCAGGTAAGTTCCTCTACATATATTTTTGAGTCCTTGAAACTTAAAGACAAGTGGTTCTGAAATCAATGCCTTTTTTTTTACTCAACCCATTTTCTGTACAAGTAATATACTATCCATCGCTTACTTTTGGATCTTAGGTAATGAAGCTGGCCTAAACATAGAAAACATAACCTCAGACCCATATCTTGGCAGGGGGCTTCCTTTCTCCCTTCCTTCCTCTTTTCCTTGCCCCTTCATTCCCACTCTGCTTTATCTTTCTTCCTTCCTGAAACATTTACTGAGCCAGACATTGCTCTAGGCACCAAGGATAAGGAAGCAGGAGTCATAAAAGCATGATAAAAAATTTAAAAAATAAGAAAAGCCTATGATGACAATATACTATGATCACTGTGACATTACACTGGGATCAAGGGAAACACTACAGGAGCCCAGAGCAGCAGTTAAGCCAGCTGGCAGGATGAACAATGAAGGATGACAACCGCCTCACATACTGTCTAAAAAAACAAACAAACAAAAAAAACCAGCATAATAATCTTATTGAAATTATTTTTCTTTAGAGAATAAACACATTTCACTATGGAAAAAAAATCAGAAAATATCAATAAACAAAAAAGAAAACATAAATCATGCATAATTTTATCATTCAAAGAAAATCATATTTGGTATAAATCCCATCTTTTTTTTCTCTGCATACACATTTTATTTTTTTTTCTGTTTTCTTTTTTTTATTTCGGCATATTATGGGGGTACAGATTTTAAGGTTTCAATAAATGCCCTTTCCCCCCTCCCCCCACAAGTCTGATTTTCCAGCATGACCATCTCCCAGATGGTATACATGTCACTCATTATGTGCATACACATTTTAAATCATATTGTTTATCATGAGACTGTCTCATCGAAAAAAATGAAAGTAAATCATCTTGTTTTATAATCTACTTTTTAATGTAATTATCCTCATTATTGTGTCACTAAATATCCTTCTATATATTAATAATTTTAAATAGCCACATATATGTCTGTAATTGTAAAAGTGTACCATACTTTATTTCACCAATACCCTTGAATGTGCTTTTGATTCAGGCTAGTTCTAACTTCTGGCTCTTATCTCGATGCTGTGAATAACACTCTTATATCTAAATATTTTTACATGGCCTTGATAATTTAAGGGTAAATTCCTAGAAGAAAACTTTGCTAATTAAGAACACTGCATCAGGGAATCAGCATGGGTTGGTTTGATTGACTCATTCATTCATTCACTTATTTATTTTTGAGACAGAGTCTTGCTCTGTCACTTGGGCTAGAGTGCCATGGCATCAGCCTAGCTCATAGCAATCCCCAACTCCTGGGCTCAAATGACCCTCCTGCCTCAGCCTCCCAAGTAGCTGGGCTTACAGGCACACACCACCATGCCCACCCAATTTTTTCTGTTTTTAGCAGAGATGGGATCTCACTCTTGCTCAGGCTGGTCTCAAATTCCTGAGCTCAAGTGATCCTCCCACCTCGCCTTGATCCTCCTCCCTTGGCCTCCCAGAGTGCTAGGATTACAGCCATGAGCCACTGTGCCTGGCCAAGCATGGGTTTCAGTTCCTATTCTTCCATGAACTTCTACAACCTTAGCCAAGTTTTCCTATCTGCTAAATGGGATTAAAACAATAACTACCCTCATAAAGCTATATGAGGATTAAATTATGTAAATACTCAGAGTAATTGCTCAATGAATATTAGCATTTTTTGTTGTTATTTTCTTCTATGATCTGTCTGCTGTTCCTGTGTCACTACTATAGCTTTATATGTACTTTACTCTTTGTCACAGCAAATCTCAATCATAATTCCTCTCTCCAAATAAGCTTGGCTATTCTTAGACATTTTTTTTGGACATATTTTCCTCTATATGTACTTCTTATAATTATTTAGTTAGTTCTTCCCCAAAAATGTTTTTGGAGTTGGATGGGGTTATGTAAAATATATGGATCTTTCTCAGGGAGAAGCAATATCTTTACAACATTAAGTCTTCCCTGTAAGAATACAGCATATCTTCACATTTTCTTCAATATCCCTTGGAAAACTGTTGTCATCTTTCCCCCAGTTAGACTTTTATACATTTCTTACTAAATTTATTCTTAGGTATTTTATACATTGTTGTTATTAGTAATATTTTTTCATTATATTTTATTGCCAGGTTATTACAAATATATAAACATATATATTAACAGTGCATAGATGGTTGTTGAATTGTAAAAAAAAAAAAGAGAATATATTAATCTTTTTATATCTATTTTGGAACTGGCTACCTTTTGAGATCTCTTATAATTTCTAATAGCTTTTATTTCCCACCTTCTTTAATTCAGCCTTACATGCCTGAAATAATTTATATACAAAATCTTTCCTTTTGGTATCATAATATTCATTCTTTTAACAAATACTTAAGTGTTTACTATGTTCAGGTACTGTGGTAAAGTACCTGAAATACTCAAATGATTATTGCCCCTGAGGAACTTACATAAACTGACTTTAGATATTAACTTGTTTCTATGTATGCAGAGAACCTGGCCTAAAATCCTTCTTTTTGTGTTGTTTTGTTTTATAATAGCGATTGAGATAAAATTTATATCCCATAAAATTCATCCTTTTAAAGTATTTAATTCAATGGTTTTTTTAGTATATTCAGAGCTGTGCAACCAAAGCCATTATCTAATTTTAAAACATTCTCATTACTCCCAAAAGAAACTCTACCCATTCGTTAGCAGTCACTCCCCATCCCTACCTCTCCTTCCAGCCACTGGCAACCACTAATCTACTTTTTGTCTCTATAGATTTACTTATTCGGGACATTTCACATAGATGACATCATACAATAATGTGGTCTTTTGTGACTGGCTTCTTTTACTTAGCGTAATGTTTTCAAGGTTCATCCATCTTTTTAAAATTTTTTTTTATTTTTAATTTTTTTTAGAGACAGAGTCTCACTTTGTTGTCCAGGCTAGAGTGAGTGCCGTTGCATCAGCCTAGCTCACAGCAACCTCAAACTCCTAGGCTCAAGTGATCCTACTGCCTCAGCCTTCCGAGTAGCTGGGACTACAGGCATGTGCCACCATGCCTGGCTAATTTTTTGTATGTATATTTTTAGTTGGTCAATTAATTTCTTCCTATTTTTAGTAGAGATAGGGTCTCGCTCAGGCTGGTTTTGAACTCCTGACCTTGAGCAATCCGCCTGCCTCGGCCTCCCAGAGTGCTAGGATTACAGGCGTGAGCCACCACACCCAGCAGTTCATCCATCTTGAAGATCAATCAGTAGTACTTCATTCCTTTTTATATCCAGGTAATATTCCATTGTATGGATGTAGTATATTTTGTTTATCTATTCATCAGTTGATGGTTGTTTCCACTTTTTGGTTGTTATGAACAATATTGCTGTGGACATTTGTGTACAAGTTTTTGTATGGACATAGGTTCTAATTTCTCTTAGGTATATAACTAGAAGTGGAATTGTTGGGTCATAAGGTGATGTTTAACTTTTTGAGGAACTACCAGCTGTTTTCTAAAGTGGCTATTCCATGTTATAATCATACCAGCAATGAATGAGGGTTCTAATTTGTCCATATCTTCACCAACAATTGATACTGTCTTTTTTTATTTTAGGTATCCTACTGGGTATGTCAATCTTTTTCTGATATATAAGTACCACCCCTGAGCCTACCTGGAATCAACTATAAGTCGTAGGACAAAACAGCTATTATATAAATATTTAGTCTGGGCCTACTTATCTCAATAGTTATGGAGGCATCTCTTACACATGTAGGTGTCCTAAAATTAACTAATGTTCCCTAGTTAAACCAAGAAACCAAAATGACTGCCAAGTTTTTTAAGTGAAAGAGAAATTCTCGTATTTTGGCTTCCCTTAAAAGAACTCACTCAAATGACTTTATATATACATAATTTCTTTAATCTTCATAAAATCCTGTAAGTAGTTGAGTAGGCATTAATATTAGCTCATTAAGCAGAAAAAGCAACTAAGATTCATAAAAGAACCCTTTAGACTATTTGCTATACTGCTGCCAAGTAATCCATCTAACAAAACCCAGCTAACACTAACACATCCATCTAATACTTTCAGCCTTGAATTTCTTAATGGCTTGCCATAGCCAGCAGGGATGAAGTCTGTCTTTATATATCATTCAAGAGTCTTCAAGATCTGAAGGATAGACTGGAACAAGGAAGGCGCTGAGCTTAAACTGTCAAGTTCAGTGGACACTGGCAGCGCGCTAATCTGAAGAAACGTTTTGAGATTTTCGGCGCTAGCACATCATCT